GCTGATAACCAGCCGCCTTTTGTATCTGATACAGTACAGCATTACACCTCTGTAGAACCAAATAAGGTCCATCCCATCCCTGTCCTAGTTTCCTGCGAACATTTGGTGGGTACCAGTACCACACCCAGTCACCTTTGGTGAATGATACTGGTTTCACTCCTCTATCATATGTTCTCTTCTGGCGCACAGCTGAGGACTGCAAGGAAGACCCTGCAAACTCATGGGCTTCTCTCATCACATCCTGGACCCATTCTACATATTCTATTGGACACCTGGCAGGAGCAATGGAATGGGGAGGTGGTCCAACCACCACATCCATTGGAATGGCTACCTCTCGTCCAAACATGAGCAGGTTCGGGGTACAGGCTGTAGATGCTTGCTCTCTGGCTCTGTAAGCCATAAGGACATACGGGAGGTGGTCATCCCAGTCATCCCTATGTTGGTTTACGACCATAGCCAACATTATTGAATATGTAGGGGGTGACCACCGCTGGGATGAGGGCGACAGATAATAATTTGTCATTATTAACTCCTGATATATATATATATATACTGCGTTGATACATCTATTGTAAATGGAAATTAAATATCACAAGTCTAGTTATTTTTTCTTCTCAAACAAAAGAATGTAATATGGAATATATTCATGCAGTATAACAACCGTTGTTCGTCTCTAGCCGACCAGACACACGCGTCATATGCTTATGCTTGTTTGCATGAAATAATGTCAAGAAAGTTCAGCTCTTTTGAGCCCACCGCCAAACAAACACATGCTTTATGCTAATAGTTTAAAGATGTCTTTCCACGCACATTTTTGTAACAAACCACTGTAAAAACGTTACTAATTAAATAACTCACTACCCTAATTTAACTGAACGTTAGCTTTGAAAATAAAACTGTAAAAATATGTATCAAGCCTATATTTGCTCGACGAAAAAACAACTCGAAAATCGCTTTTCGTCGCGGTTCTGTATTATGGCGGCAAGAGCCGACGCAGGTCACGTGACACAGCCTTCATGACGTTCAGCACTTGGCAACATCACCGCAGAGCTGCAAAAGTAAACGCTGCTTGAAACATTCGACTCGACACTTTAACTTTGTAGTCTAAAAGCGTTTAATGAACGTATTCCCGAGCAATTCTTTTACCTATCACACTTATATATAGGCAAATACAAACGTTAATTAAAATGTTATATTAAAATAATTCATTTTTGCTTGATTTTATGTTTTCCGCTTGAAATTTCGTGGGAAGGCACCTAAAAGGAATCCATAGGCAGTAAAAGTAGTGTGGGGCAAGCACTGCGGGCAGTATATTTCGCTTGCGATTATGCCGTGCGACATAGACACTGGTCCATATAATCAACAGCTATCAATAAGCCATATCGGAAAGTCCTCGCCGCCATATATTGAGATCAGATAAGAGGGGGTATAAACTGTCCTTTTATAACATGGGTAGGATAGGACTATTCTAGGTTTTTTTTATCTATAATTAATTATCTTTACTATAACATCGTACTTCAATTCATAGGCGCGTAATTTCTGTTTACATAAACATTTACAAATATGATTTAGGTCGTTTGGGATATTTTGCAACGTTTGTGCAAAAACTGATTGCAAAACTGCAAAACTGACCATGTGCAAAATGATTTAGGTCGTTTGGGATATTTTGCAACGTTTACAAAAACTAAAAACGCACGCGTGTTTACATTAATCATGTACTTTAATTCCTAAGCGCGCCTCGGCCATTTTAGACCCCCCTTTTCTGTGACCTACATAGCACAGCTGGACTTTCCGATCTCACTTATCCCCGGCTGGGCCATTAACCCTACCATTGCTAACCTGTATGCTACAGGCAGTTCCGGTTAGTGTAGTGAAGCGGAACATACCGCCTGTATTATACAGGTTATACCATTGCATGTTTTTTAGTACGACTTCTTGCACGTGGTGCCCCCTATGTCAGCTCCTGACTGAATAAGAAACAACAAAGATCTCGTCGACGCTGCAGGCTAGCTGGCTCGATGTAGACAAAAACACTCTACAGCATGAAAAAGTTTGCGAACATCTTTGGATCGGCGACTGCACGAATCTTCCAACGTCAAAGACAGCAGCTGCGCCGTGGGTGAGCGAAAGTGTTCACGCAGTGCATAAACATATGGGACACAAAACGTGAAACAATGCGAAAACAACAAGTTTTTGACTTTGTAAAAGAGCAAAGGGTAAGGGGTAGCCGAGAAATCGGTGCTTCCATTCTCTTATATTGTTTGAGGATAACCAATTTCTCGTTTGTTTGTCCTTTGCCCCGTCCTTTGTCCTTGTCCTCTTATTAGCTCTGTTACGTTTATCCCTTATCCACATGTACAGCCTATCTATATCAGACTAAACCGATACTTAAAATTATCTACTTCATATACAGTTTACACAAACTATACAGACATATTCACACCCATCCGTTCTATACCGTCCCTGCCCCCCCCCCCCCCCGATTACTACACCCCATCTCACCTACCCGTACTATACTCACTACAACACCCACCCCCCACTACCCCATCCTTACACCCACCCTTACACCCTACACCTATACCTACATATTCCCTATTACACCCAGCCAGACACTTACATGTGGACCGACCCCTATTACAACCCCCCCCCCCTACCCAATCCATGCAACCACACAATTACACACCACATTATATATGCTATACACTCGCCCCTTACTGCACCCACTCCTACATCCACCTCTACACCAACCTCTACTATGGGTATGCGTATACCTAACAAGAATACACATACCCCTTACACACCCACTTCTACACGATCACTTTACCTCAATCCCCTTACACAAACTCTCATGCAACCACTTCTACACCAGTTCCACGCAACCACTTCCGCACCAGCGCCTGCACACGGCCACACGCCTTTATAATCATAACGCAATGTTTCAGCGTACCAGCAGGTCGGAATTGTCAGGCGTAACCTGTCGCTGGTGATGGCGGACGACAACCCGACGTCGAGTGCATCTTCGCTGAGTTTGACTACAATGCGCAGCCGGTGGAGACGTTTCCCTTTAACCAGGGAAAGGAGCGGAATCCATGTGCATCATGAAGAAGAACATCATATACCAGAGGCGTGTACAGGGGGGGGGGTCCAAGGGGTCCGGACCCCCCCCCCCCTGTTCGCGCAGAAAACGCATCTAAGGGGGTCTAATTTCAAAAAATTTCGGGGGGAGGGCCCCCCAGACCCCCCTTCGCGTGCTCGCAAGTTTTGGTATATGTTTAACGCTTTTTTAAAAGGTTGTGTCAATTATTTGCGTATGCCCTACTAAACGTTTTGAGATATGTTATTTAACACGCTGCGTGTTAAATAAGTGGGGCGCAAAATTCGATTCAATCACGATTATGTCATTACCTCCGCCAAGGGGTTGGCAGGAGGTTGTTTTCACCGGCGTGTGTTTGTTCGGCGTGTTTGTTGGTTTGTAGGTTTGTGTACAGCCCAACTGAAAAAGTTATGGACGGATTGTCATAAAATTTTCAGGATAGGTCAGAAATGGGCTAACTTAGAATTGATTACATTTTGGTGGTGATCCGGATCCAATTAATTAATAAAATTTCCAGGATACGTCAGAAATGGGCTAACTTAGAATTGATTACATTTTGGTGGTGATCCGGATCCAATTAATTATTTAATTAATTAATTAATTGATTAAATTTTTCACAGTGACACAATTCAGCTGCCTTAGCGGAGGTCTGTGCTCTCTGAGTGCTCTAGTTATATTTGTTTCGGTTGGCAAGGCATATGGCTCGTCTGGGATAACGTCAGACCTGAAAATTAGTCGAAGCAAACCTGGAGCATAATGTGGAATAGCAAACATAACATGGAAAGTTATATAAATGGACTCGGTGTACAATTGTTTTCCATCGCTCTGTTTCAGGGGTTACTGGGAATTTAAGGACCTGCTGTATTTCGCAAGATGTTCAGATTGGGAATTAAATGGCCTTTGTCGCCGGATAATATTCGCATGAGGGTGCATACTGCACGACACTGTATCTGCTGAAGTGTGATATATATATATATCGCATTTACTCGTAGCGTAGGAGTCTAAAGTCTGAACATTTATAACCACACTTGACATTTTTATGTAAAGCACGTACATGTAATTCACATTCGAAAAAGTTGTGAAATAAATGCACTCGAAAAAGTCATCACCAGACAGGAAGTGAATTTTATTAATCAAAACCTACGTAGATGTCTGTACGCGTAGATGAAGTATAAGTGATGCGAATTAAAAGCAATTAACACACACGTCTTGCTCTCGTTCTTTCTCTGTCTGCATGTCTCTCCCTATCTCTCGCTCACTCTTGCTCCATACTGCTAGATATAAGAATTTCTAATTTTACAAACACGTTTTAATGTTTCGGGGAAGGGGTGGCAGTGAACTTCGATTAAACCTTCCCATGCACTTACCCAACCCCGGTCACTCTGGCCTCCCCGTCATTGCAAAATGCTTCAGAAACTAGCTTAAATGGCTGCTTATTAGTTAGGCTGAGAGGGTCTATGTCCGCCAAGGTACTGTGTATACCGGAACGTACCCTGGTACTATCTAATATGCCGGACCGTACCTCGCCTACTCCACTAACGAGTCTAGGGAGTCGCCTACGCCTACTCCCTAACCCTAACCCTAACCCTAATCCTAACCATATCAGATAGTTACCAGGGTACGTTCCGGTATACCCAGGGTACGTTCCGGCAGTACCCTGGGGGACATAGACCCTATGAGCATTAGTTTGCACATGGGATTGCTCGATCTCGTGCCCTTGGGGTTTTTCTGTACGAAACGTGGTTCGTAGCACACTATGGGGCATGCGCCGTAGATAGCTGCTCTCGCGTAGTCATCTCTGATGTGAGTCAAGCGCCGCCTATCGATCGACGTATAAAGACGTACCATCCGCGTCGCAAGTCGACGAATCGTAAGTCGTATAATCGAACACACAGGCACTTGAAGCGTTTGATCTGTAAACACACGCCGCCGCCATTGCTGCTGCGCTGCACACTGACACATAAATATATTTAGACGCGTCGCAGCGGTTAATTATTATGGTTTTCATGTGAGATCGCTGCCGTGTTAGTTTACGATTGAGTTTGTTGAACTATCTCTCAAAAGTGCATCATATTGCCGCTTCCGCTTGCGAAGTATAGGGCGACTGTGTTTTGTTTTAGTGCGACATGTTTCCGCTCGCTAATTTCTCAATTGAGGCCGCGGCGAACTTTCGGTCTCTGAACGTATCAAGCAGGTTTGTCCGAGAGTGTCGTCAGCGTTTCTCCACGAGCCGTTCACTGAACGCTGACAGCTATGATGTGGTCGTCGTTGGAGGAGGAGCCGGCGGGGCATCACTGTCAAGTGTTTTTGCAAAAAAATCGAAAAGCGTAGCTGTGATAGAACCAAACGCGGTAAGTGCTCGATCGTGCGTATACGCGCACACGTACTCCAACAAAAAACGCACGGAGCGTACGCAGTAGCTTGCAGCGGCTGATCTAGGGTCACCTAAATCGAGCTAGCCTAAAAACTGGTTTAATAAATCTGGTTTTTAAATTCCGCTCATCTCATGCCATAGACAAACACCTGGCTGGACTATGTAAGTGAGTGACTCACAAGTCTGAATTGGCTGCATACATGTTCGCGTGACACGTGTCAGCTATACGATGGCATAAAGGATACCGGTACTCTCCACCTTTTGCACGGGTATTGCTCTAATGAAGATTAAACGTTTATTGGCGAATGAATCGAGTCAATCACTTGTTTTATTTATAGAGAAGATATATCTCTAAGCTCAAGCCAAAAAATTTCATGAAATTTCCAGCACCTAATTATGTTACCAACTTAATTTTACCACACAAATTTTGAATTTTTATGTAAAAATGGTATTTTGAATATTTCTCAACTACCAGAAAGAGTGAGGATACAAAAATTTTGTCACATGTTAAGCACGATATGGACCAAAATAGTGCGTCAGGATTTTTCTTTAAGTTTCATATTTACCGAGAAAAATGGAAAAAACTGCTTAAAAATCAAGTTGTGTTGGAAATTTTATCGAATAAATAGGCATAACTAATAAAATACGGCACTTAATAACAATCCCTGACGCACTTTTTTACAGCAATATGTTACTATTAAAACGAGTGTAAAATTAAATTAATCCGAGTTGTAATCATAGAGAAATATCCATTTATACATCGGCTACTATGTCTGAAATAGAAACGGAGAAATCAGCGTTTTTCTATTTTTCACAATGATTGACCGCCCGGTGCAAAATGGGTGAACGTATGTGAAATATCTACTGTTATAGTACTTACTGCGACATATCCATGACTAACTGCATATGACACCACTAAATTGGTTTTATTGGGACCCATGTTCTCTATCCTTGGGCCATATGTTCCATATATGCACCTCGATCGGTCCGTCTAATTACCGAAAGGCACCGAAAGGCACTGGAAGGCACTATGAGAACATCGAATTCCACCGGAAGAAGCAGTCCGGAGCTGAATTGTCAAAAAAAATTTCACCGAAATGCCCTAAAAATGACTGAACTCGGCCCGGAATGAGGTACACAAATACTTCATTCTGAGCCAATGTTTACATGCCACAGCGCCATCTCTTGGATGTTTTATAAGTAAATATGGGGATTTTCAATAAAATAATGCGTTTTTAATGTATTTACCACGATTTACGTATAGAAACTATATGTTATTTTTGCTGATTTCTCCGTATCTTTCCTTGAATTTTTCATTGTCTTTCAATGCCTTTCGGTAGATTTGTCTGCGTTTCTGCTCCTTTTGGTAATTTGCTGTCTAAACACTAAATAGCGCAAAAGGCAGCTAGGGTAAAAAATTCCGAAAGGCCTCTTAACACACCAAAAATACACCGAAAGACACTAAGTAACGCTCAAAGGGTCGTTGGGGGTCGTTGTCGTAACAGGTACTACAGATATGTACCCGAGGTACATATATGTATACACAAAGTGTACCAGACTTGTACTACAGAAGTGTACCCTAACCCTAACACTAACCCTAACCCTTACCCTAACCCTAATCCTAACTCTAATCCTAACCCT